TAAGGCAAATTACTCTCTATATATCAGAGGGTAATGCATGAATAGTACCAGGTTACTCCTTGAAATTGTCCACAGAGGCCATGGATTGAAATTGTCCACAGAGGCCATGGCTGGTGACATGGACTGCCGGACAACGACTCGAGATAGCAAGAGGAAGGATGCAGGCTTAACTTGTAAGGGAAATTACAGCTGTTTCTATACAAATGCTAGAAGTGTCCGAGGTAAAATCGGGGAGTTGGAGTGCTTGGTGTCGGAGGGAAAAATAGACATTGTGGGTATTTCTGAAACTTGGTGGGATGAGGAAAATCAGTGGGACACAGTGATTCCCGGTTATATATTATATCGGAAGGATAGGGGGGGAAGGGTTGGAGGTGGGGTAGCTCTGTATGTCAGAGAGGGTATAAAGTCTAGAAAGATTGAGAGGCTAAATGAATTGGATTCGCTTCTGGAAGTTCTATGGGTTGAAATAGGGGGGCCAAAAGGAAACTTAACACTGGGAGTTTGTTATCGCCCACCAGATCAAAAGATAGAGGAGGATTATAAAATGATGAATGCCTTAAAGATAGCAACTAGACAAAAACACTGTGTAATAATAGGTGATTTTAACTACCCACACATTGATTGGGTCAATATGTGTTCTAGCCGGGAAAAAGAGATTGAGTTTCTAGACACTCTAAATGACTGTGCTATGGAGCAGATGGTCACGGAACCTACCAGGGGAGAGGCGATCCTTGATTTGGTCCTAAGTAACACTCAAGACCTGGTGAGAGATGTAAAAGTGATTGCACCGCTTGGAAACAGTGATCATAATGTTGTTGAGTTCATCATTTGTACAAATAGAGAATTGGCCAAAAAGACTCACACAACCATTTTTAACTTTAAAAGGGGTAATTTCTCTGATATGAGGGGACACGTGGGGTGTCCAGAAATGGTCCGAGTACGTCCGCTATACTCATTGCAGCATTCTAGTAGCACTACGTTCAAGGACACTCCCAGCTTCGATGTTCTTACCACCGTTGATAGTTGGATAGTTTAGGCATCAGATTGCCAGCCCCTGATTGGAACTCTGAGTCTTGTTCCTCTAAAACATTAGGCTTAGATGAAAGATCCAAGGTTCTTAGGACCTTGGGGAGAAGAAAGAGTCTGGACTGTACAGACGGCATGACTTCTTCCTCTTCCTTGAATAATCCCCTTCCTCCTGTTCCGAGGAAGAATCCGAGGACTGGGGCATTAACTCCTTATGTCCCAGCTGGTGGTTAAATTGACCAAAGGAACACTGAGCCTTCCTCTTGCGTTTGTGCCTAGGAGGAGAGTCAGAGCTGCTGGAAGAAAGATCTTCACAGGGTTTTGATCTCTTAACAGGCTTGCCCTGTCCTAGCAAAGTCTTAGAGGTCTCTGCTCCCTGAAGGGTGTCTAACATGTCCTTAAAACCTTTCCTCATTTCAGATCTGAACCAAGACACCAGGTCAGACTTTTCCTGTTCCCTAGGATCCAAATCTGGTTGAACTGTATCTTGATTGGACAGGGAAACAGACAGTCTGGGGAAACTGAAATCGCTTAGAGAACTGTCTCTGTCTGGAGAAACCTCTCTTTTAGCTTGGTCTGCCATCTTGTATCATTCTGTGGGGGGAAACGAAAGTGAAAAACTCTTCAGGTTAACAAAATGGCCGCCACTTTATCACGCCCAAATGAGCTGCCTCGGCAAAGTTTGGAAAGAGGCAAAGTTTGGGGGCCTGGGCCAAGAAAGATAGGCACCTATCCCTCAAAGCCCCCCCCCAATGCCCGCTGAACAAAACATTACCAAATAGTCGTTCACCATTCCTGCGTCGCCCCGAATTCAAAATCCCGGGTGAACAACCTTCCCACCCGGTTCATACACGTGGCGCCCGGACTGAAAAGACCTTAGTCCTTTGCCACGGTGTTTCCGACCCCCTAGGCTCCATCCCCACTTGGGAAGGCTTCCGGGGGCCCAGCAAGACTCACCATCTCCAACGGTAGGGTCGTTCTCGTTCTTTTTGGCTGCAGCAATCCTTCGCCTAAGCGTGGGTATGCTGTACTGCCAGGCTTCTCCGCACCCCCGGAGCACAGAGGGGGTAGGCCCTCCAACCAGAGATAGGGTAAGGCCAGGAGACGGTAGCCAAGGGCCGATTTGGAGCTGCGCCAAAAACCGGGGACAACCCAGCTCAGCCTCGCTCGCCCTCACTCCTTGCCGCTACTGATGCACTAAAAGTGCGGCGGCTCCAATCTTCTTTCTTCTCTTCTTCCTGTCAAAGTAATGGCGCTCCAAATGAGCACTGCTGGAGCACATCCTGCTGGAAAGCAGGGCCAGCAAGAACTGGGGAAGTCGCAGGGGATAAGCCCCGCCTCACATGGATCAAAAGCCTGGAACCGACCCTGCAGAAGGGGGCGGAGCTTATCCCAATCGTACGGACTGTCCCGCTATCCGAACCACTGGAGAATGACACTTCTGAGAACAGGCTAAAAATGTGTTAGGTAAAACTGAAAATATTCATCTAAAATGTCAAAGTTCAAACCCTTCTCAGATATAATTCTGCTAAGGTCAATCAAATTGTTTTAATTTTAAAAACACACCTCAGTGTATTTTGGAATAAGCTTCACTGAACCCAGAGAGATTCCTGAGCTGATGTGGATATTCCAATTTACTAATTTTAGGTATTCCCAGACAGTCCTGGCCCCACTGGTGGACCTCCTGATGGCACTGGTATTTCTGGCCACTGTGTGACACAGAGTGTTGGACTGGATGGGCCTTTGGCCTGATCCAACATTGGCGTCTCTTATGTTCTTATTTCCAGTGCCTGTAATCCAGCCATAGTTCTTATGCTGGTTAGAATAAGCATTGTTAGAAATGGTTCCCTGTGTCATAAAACAGCCCTTCTGAACACTGCAAACGCTGCTAAACATGGGATAAAAAGTAGGCAAGAACTTGCAAAGGAATTACATTCTATCTAATTAGACAAAGATTGTAAGTAGCTATGTTTGTCCACCAGGGGGAAAAAGAGCAGGGTAATATCTTTTTATTAGGAGTCCTCCCTCTTTTTTGTATTGTGAACATCCTGCCTGATGTTCTCTAGAACTCAAAAACATATTTATTACTTTAAAGTTGTGTTGCTCCTAATAAAATAAAATTTAACTGCTATTCATTCTGTCTAATACAGGTTTTACATTCACATCACCTATGATTTATATAACAGTTTACAGTTTTCAAAGCCATTTATATACATTATCTCAGCAATCTTGGCAAGATAGGGTAGTATTATCCTCATATTGCACAACAGTGGTTTGTCTATAGCTCTGGTGAAATTTGTACTGGGGTTTTCCTGGCTTGAAGCTACCAACCGGGGGGGGGGGCGGAGACAATTAAGTAAATATGCAACAATTTAGCAGCAATAGGATATATCCATATTACAGATGCTTAAATTAGTGTCACAGGACATGCATTCTTAGAAACTTCATCCTGAGTCAACTCTCCAGAGTTTAGGCAGTCATTTTGATGTATTTCGAGACATAACGTAGCTTTTTAATGCAACCAGAATCCTCAATTTAATGCAAGCCCAGTACATCAGATCCACTTTTTAAAATAATATTTATCCTAGAGCAAATATGGAGTGATTTGGGAGCTATGAAAACAGGCTGGAAAGTGAAACATTGCTATAAAGGGTAATTAGTATTTCTGATACCGTGAATGGCCCTGTCCTGCCCAGGGCCACTTCCTTTCTTGCATCAGGGCTGAAACTAAAACCCTAAGCATTACTTTTCCTCATGCTTTAAACATTGACTTCAGTGGGGAGGCCAACCTTTCATCTTGTCATTCCTAAAGTAATTAACAGCACACATTTCTTTTGAGACCCTGTACTGATACCTACTGGTATAGAATTGTTTTCATTTCCCCAGCCCTTCATGATTGATTCCCCACCACTGGAAGGCTTATTTAATAGGTGGCAATTTACATAATCTTTGTAGCATTAAATTACAGCAATAGGTCAATTATCAAACATAATTAACACATCATGATATGTTAAAACCAGTAATTGACAGCTCACTCTAGCTTAATGCTACAGCAAAATGTCAATTACTGATTTTTTTTTAAAAAAGCTCTCCATTAAGTGGGTGGTGGTGGGCAGCTGTGTTGGCTGAGTGCAGCAAAGTGTAAGGAGAGCTGCCATGTGGGGAAGAAACTACAAGTTTCAGTTATAAGCTGAAACTCAAAGCACGCAAACTATATTTCTCCTCTTTCAAATTAAGATGTTTTCAGCCTCCACTTAGAACAAAGTTCAATTCCAGTGAACATTGGTGTGCACTTTGAATATGCTTTGATCACGCATACAGTCCACTAGTATGGAGCCAGCAACACATGATTAGCACTTAACCATATTTATGGTGGTACATTGTAGTGTGCTTACCAGCACAGAAAACTAACATGCAAGGATGTTGCTCTTATTCAGTCCGGGGGGCGGGGGGAAGCTTAGCAACCAAAATATTCAGCCATATTTACAACTCTCTAAATTGCCCTAGTAGCAATATTCAAGGAGTTTGGGTTTAGAACCTGATGACATGAAACTGCACCTGTACAGAGAAGACGAAACACTGTCTTTTCATATCATTTGACAATCTGATGAATGCTGGAGCATAGCTAATGTATCGGGCTGAAGAGCAGCTTTGCGAGGCACTTGGACACACCCTCACTGGTATAGTCCAGTAGAATGCATCATTTATGTTTGTAATCAAGATGAAATCTTCTGATAATGACTATTTGCCACATTGTATGATAGCCAATAATTACAACCTAGCATCGACTGAATAGCTTTTGTTCTTGGAGACCTGCATCAAATGATTATGAAGTTATTTTAACAACACTTTATTCAAGCTTGAAAAAAAAGTGTGAAACACTATCAAGCTGTCCATGTAAAAAGGAAAATCCAGACTATTAATTCTCACATGAGTATTTTGCAAAGCAATTTTATTGAAGACTTTATGGACCTTGAGCTTTTGCTTTACATTAATCAAATATTTCATACATATACCAGCTCCTGACTTGAAAAAAATTGTACTATGAAGTAGAAACCTGCATCATATGTAATAGAAGAGTACTTTCATCAAGGCACAAGTAACAGGTTAGTTAAAATAAACTTAGTTTCAAGTAAACTGGGTTTAGTGTTTCTATTAAAACCTTCTGATGTTCCTTGGGCAAAGCAACATGTGAGATCTAGTCACATGAGGAAAACTTTGTCATGTTACATTTAAGTAAGGCACAATATAAAAACATCACTCCATTTATTTACATAAACTGTCCAAGTAAAAAGTGGTAAAATGCCACAGAAATTCTGTCTACATGCAAAATATGATCTGAATTAATGCAAGGTTATTACATTATACCATTCATTTTTATTTAACTCACTTGAGGATAGTTCAAAATAAGTTCAAAGCTATTCTTAATCAGGATCACAGTATCCACATAATTGATCAATCCAGGCAGTTCCTTGTTCAGGCAAAGCCTGATTATCATTGTGCTGTGAGGGTTGGAGGCATTTGCATGTTTGGTGGCTGCATTGGCCACCCTTCCTGATGATTCTGCAACAGGCGGTAGAGTTGTTTCAGCTGAGCAACAATGTTGTCCTTGATATCAGGAGTAGAGATCTGAAGCCGCACACTGCCACTGTCAAAGGAACGTGTGAAATCACCAGAGAACATCTCATAGATCATCCGAGCTACAACTGGAATTACCTGTTTGAAAAATCCACCACTTTAGTCCAGATGCAATTACAGATTGCAACATACTAATCTAAAAAACTCTAAGTGAGAGAATGCATTTGCAATCCAAAACCAAATGTTTTAATTTCATTGCAATTTATTTTTCCCATCATGGCATGAGTTACATAGATTCTATTCTGAATTGCTAGGCCTATTAATGCATATCTGAGTCAGCATCAAACCCAAATGATCTGTAAAGTGCTTCACTCACAACTCGTGCCTGTAACGGACAGATGCGCAGCTGACATAAGCTTTGTCGGCAGAATGGGAGAAACAACTGTGAAGAGTTCATGAGCAGAGTCTGCACCAGAGTTCATACTCAAAGGTGTGAAACTTCTCATGCTCTTATTCAACCAATCTAAGTAGAAGAAAAATAACAGAGCAGCCCCAAGATGTGCTCCTTCCATGAAGAGACAGATATTGCTCATGGAAGCTGATGTTTTCTCTTCCTACAATGCTTCAAAATGATCTTCCATCACCAAGTCAGCAAAATGGCTTTCAATCACCATGTGTGCGCTGGTAAATACAGATTATCAAAAAAAATTCTTGTAAAGATAATACAGACAAAAAAAATTCAAACTCTCAGGAAATGCACTATATACATATAGGTAAAGGTAAAGGTTTCCCTTGCTCAAAAACCAGTCGAATCTGACTCTAGGGATGTGGTGCTCATCTCCGTTCCCAAGCCGAAGAGCCAGCACTGTCCACAGACATTTCCGTGGTCATATGGCCAGCATGACTAGATGCCAAGGCGCATGGAACACTGTTACCTTCCCACCGAAGCGGTACCTATTTATCTACTTGCAATTTCTTGCTTTTGAACTGCTAGGTTGGCAGGAGCTGGGGCCAGAGATGGGAGCTCCGTCTTGCAGCACTCGGGTCTCGAACTGCTGAACTACCAACCTTCTGGTCTGCAGTTCAGCGTCTTAACCACTTAAGCCACCGCAGTACATATAAAGTACTATAAATAAGAAAGAATCTGAAAGTTAACAGCTTTGACAACACCAGACCTGTTATCACACAAAAGTAAATTTCAACTCTGTTTACTACAGGCTTAACTCAGTTTGGGATTCCTTGTTTACAACATTATTTCTTTTAACTAATAAGGTACACAAACCTGCTTAGAATGACAGCTCACTGATGTCTTTTGGGCTGATTTGGGAAAGGGAAGGGGGGAGTCCTTTTCAAAGCAAAGGGTAACTTGTCAGCAAGCCATTTTCACAAAGCTCCTGCCACTGCTGTTAATATTGCCATACCAGAGAGATGCTAACTGCAGGCTCTTGCTACTCTCAATCTTCTGTGCACAATGCCTCTTTATTACTAGCCTGTTTGCTCGTGTGTATAACTATGGAATCTGCTGCCACTCTAGCATGGAGAGTCTCCACATTCATCAATGGTTTCTCATCCTGAATCGTACGGATAGGATCTTGCAGATTACAGAAGTCCCCACCAAATATGCTCTACAGAAATACTGAAGTCCAGATTTAAAATTTCTGGTATGCTTTTATTTGAATAAACTGGAAATATGTAATCTCATAAACAGAGCCATTGATACTACATACCAAACTATTTTGGAGATTCGACATAATACTATGAATGCAATAAAATGCTAATAAGTTTAGTGACACACCACCCATGAAATACCTGTCAAAATAGAGAGGTATGCTTCCCAAGTTCAGGTTGGGGTTCTGGCAAACCTCCAAGATGAGGGACTTAGACCTGGTACTGCTACCAAGAATGCTTTGATTACATACGCTTAATAATTAAAACATGACATAATAGGTGCACTGTTGACAAGTATTCACATTAGAACATATAGAATACAATGGTGCCAGGCACAGATTTCATCTGAGAAGCTCAGTTTTGAACCTAACTCAGTGTATGTGGACAACAGATTTCCAGGAGTTAGGGCTCCAGAATTCAGTTTTTGCACCACAGCATTTGCTGTTAACTAGCATGGACTTTGTGTGGAAGTCAGCTACTGTTCTTCTAACAATTTACACTGTTAGTGTTTCTTCCAGGATTCATTGTTCTCTTACCTGAACAACGATCAACTTTCTCTCTCTAGATTTCCCATCTGGCCATTCTTCTCCGAAACAAAAATAGATCTCATATGGTGGCTCTTTAGCAATCTGCCCTTTCTGGTGAGCAATCAGTTCTAAGAGGAAGACCAAAGCAAAAGCTGCTGATACCCAGTGAGAGATGCACACATCTGAAGAAGACACAGTTATCCAGCTCAAAACTGAATGCTTTTTAATTTATTTCTATATTTAAATCCTGCTTTGTCCCCACAGGAACCCAAAGCAACATCATTCTCCTCTCCTCCATTTTATCCTCACATCCACCACCTTTGAGAGAGAGACAGGTCAGGTTAATAGAGAGGGCCCGGCTCAAGGTCAACCAGTGGGCTTCTATGGGAGAGTTCTCCTAGATCTCAGTCTGGCACTTCCTTCTGTCCCTCTTCATAATCCTTCTACCTAAAGATTATCATCCCAATGCCATAATCGATCAGTGCTATGATTTATTTTGGCCCCATACTGGATCAGTATCATAATAAGTGGAATATTTATTTATTGAACTTGTATTCCGCTCTCCCCACAAGTGGGCTCAGGGCAGATCACGAAGCCATTCAGCATCTCTCCTTATATATAACTATTTTGGTGGTGGCACTCTGAAGCTCTACCACTGGCTGTGCAATGCGCTCCCTCAGCCATTGGCCCATCAGCTGCCACTCAAGAGTACTCGTGTGCCATTGGCCAGGTGCCTGGGTCTGCTTCTCTTCCCCACCCACTCCCCCTTCAGCCACTGTGCCATCAGAATTACTGGTAAATGGCTTTCTCTCTTGACGAAGACACTTCTCCTGCTTGCCTCCTGTGTGGGACTAATTGTTCCCTCTGTGGCTGTTGGTAGGTATAACGAAATGGCAGTTACCTGTGTTTGTGAGATGGCTGTGGTTCTTTGTTTAAAATGTTCCCCGATAAGGTTTAATTGAGCTGTAGTTCCAGAGAGGGGCCTGCAGGGGTATCACTCACTGGGTTGAATGGGGCTTCCTCATCTGCTGGCCTACAGTTCCCAGGTGCCCAAGGCCAAAAAGTGTGGGAAAACAGGGACTGTCCCAAAGGGCAGGGCAGCATCAATATAGACTGCAGCCCATCCAGGGAGGAAGCAGTCTTCGTCCCTGGGAGGCATCAGAAATTCAGCCATTCCACAATCAGCTGGATTGAGGAATGAATGGAAGTTTCCCTGCTCTCTTGGGCAAGAGATAGAGGCTGAAATAGAGCCAGAGGCCGGTCCAAGAAGAGATCCTATCCTGAGCCCACAACCTCCAGAGGTAGAGAGTATTGTGTGTAGGGA